CCTGAAGATGACATCAGTTCTCCCAAAAATCTTATAGGCGAAAATGACGGGCATGTCCCTAACGTAAGCCTGCCAAGCGTAGGCAAGGCTAAGCCTGCTTTGAACCGTAACAAGGTGTCAGTCGGAAGTGGCCTAAATTTGCACCCAGGTTTTTTGGGCCCTTTCGAATAGTGGCCCGAGTAGGGGAGGTGGCGTACAGACTGGACCTTCCTCCATCCTCTCACATTCACCCTGTTTTCCATGTCTCCCTACTAAAAAAGAGCGTAGGGTCTCAGCTCTCAGGTGGATGCTAGCCCCACATTGCCTGAGTTCGATGATGAGGAAAGGTCTCCATCCTGAGCCGGTGGTGGTTCTAGATCTGAGGTGGGTTGAAAGGGGTAAAGCAGTTCACAAGGAAGCATTGGTGGTTTTGGAAGTACCTGGCAGAGGAGGATGCATCCTGGGAAGATTGTGACAACCTTAAGAGGATGTTTCCAGGCTTCAACCTTAAGGACAAGGTTGTTTTGAAGAGGGGGGGAGTTGTTGAGCCCTTAGTCCATGTGGCACCCCAGGCCCAAGCCACTAGCCAGCCCGAGGACCAGCCCATTAGCCCATGAGAAGCACATCCCAGTGAAGGAAGCCAAACGCCCGCCCATTCGTTTCCTGCACACAAGGAAGACACATCAGCCATGAACAGTCCCATGTACAGAAGATTATCAACACCAAGTTAATTTGCAATCTGAATACCTTGTAAAGTTGCCAACAACTCGGTCCTATTTGAGTCTCCTATTGCCACTGGGCCCATGTACAAGGCAAAGATATTTCTATCCTTATATCTCAAAACCCCGCCTATACATGAGGGGCTAGGATTGCCTTAACCAATTCCATCAAAATTCAGCTTTACACATCCTTCAGGTAGCGAGAACCCAAATATCCTTAACTGGAAAGGCCACTTGAGTGGAGGAAGAACCAAGAGACTTCAAAAAAGAAGCACAAGTAAAGGACCCTTTTGGATGGAGGGGACCAAATCCTCTTGTTTGATTTTAAAGGATCCAAACAGACATTATCAAGAACCAGGAGTTTCTAAACAACACCAAGTTTAACATCCCTTAAACCCCAACGGAAGCCAAAATTCCAACTTAAAGACAAAGGAAAGGGGGGAGGGGGGGGAGAGGAAGGGAAGAAACAAAAATAAAAAACTTTATGCTTAAACAAGGAAATAGAGTAGAGAGAAGGGAAAAGGTCTTTGAGAGCCGAATTTCCCACCTGGACCCAAAAGTGAATAAATCCCCTAAGCAAACATCATACCTGACAAAGTTAAGAAATTGGGGAAGGATATTGTGAATTGCTTCCCAAGTTGTCAAGGTTGCCCAACGAGAAACACTGGCATCCTAGCCATTTTCCAAGCAACCACGAATACTAGCTATCACCTCATGCCACAATCTCCCTCTTTACAAGGGCCATCTCTACAACCAGTTACCTAACAAAGCTATATTCTTTAGAACCAAATTTCCTATCCCCGACCCGCCTTCTTCCTTGCTCCTGGATATTATTTCCCACCTTATTAAGTGCTCCTTCTTCTCTTCCCCTAGCCGCCATAGGAAATTCCTAATTAGTTTCTCCAAACTTTTCCAACATTGGAGTCCAAAAACCACTCTCCTTCGGGTTAGCACTTAGAGGGAGCCCTAGATAGGACAAAGGCCAAGAAGCACTGTGACAACTTAAGCACTCTATAACAGACTCAATAACCCCTTCATTCAAGTTTATCCCCACCACATAACTCTTATCCAGGTTTATTTTCAAGTTAGAGACACTTGCAAAGTAATTTATCAAAATTTTCAGATTCCTTGCTCTCCTTAAGTCATCCCCTTCACTGAAAAATAATGATATCATCATCAAATTGGAGATGGGTCACCGGGACTCTATTTCTACCTAACCTCCATCCTTTTATTAACTCTTCACTATCAACCTTTGAGAGTAATCTATTGAAAACATCTGCTACAAGGGCAAACAACGGCACATTTGACAAAAAAGAAAAAAAAAGCACAAATTTTTTATACAAAGATCTCAATCAAACTTCAAAACTATACACATTTTTATTCTTTTTTGTACTACTTTGTTGGGTGAAATGAAGAATGAAGCAGGAATGCATGATGCAGAAGACAGTTGCATTTCTAAAAGGGAACATCACCTCTATTGTGTATCCGTGGTTTGCCCGAATCAGCAGTTTCCCATTTTCTTCCAAGAGGCAAAACCACTGTTATTTTCTTTTCTGAATGCCTGAAAATTTTATACATTAACAACCGAAACAATTCAGTGGGAGACCGGAGATCCAAGTCAATTATAAGAAAGGTGCAGATAAAACTTTAAGGGGCACTCTTTGTTAAATATACAGGTTGAATGAAGAACAAGGAGAACATGGAGGTAGCAGTATACGAGCAAAAAATCAGATACAAGCATCACAAAAGATACCACCATATTTTTGTAGTCAAATGTGATAATTTACCCCCCAATACATTATGCTATGCTCTTTTAGTTCTATGTCTCATTTATTTCTATAGCCTATTTACCCCTTAATCCTGTAATGAAAAATATAAAAATTGAAAATGTTGAAAAAAGAACGCAGATAGAATGAAATAAGAAAATAAAACAGAAAAAGCTTATAGAACTAACCTCCCTAACTTCGTCAACTGTGTATGATCTTAATGGGATATTAGTATATGTTTTCATATTCAACTTCAGGAGATAATTCACCTAGACATACCCCATTCCATATATCCAAGTTACAGGAAAACAGAATTGCTTCAATTTATACCGACTTAGATACACACCAGAACCAAATTATAATAAAGAACAAAATAAGAGAAGAATACACACCAGAACCAAATTAATTATAACAAAGAACGAAATAAGAGAAGAAAACAAGATGGAATAAAATCACATGTCAACGAAAGGTAAACAAAAGGACAAGAAATTCCACCTTACTGCCCACCCCCGAAAGATTAAAAAATTAAAAACAGAAAAGAAAAGATTTTCCGTAGTTGAGGCCTTTACAATAGACAAAACAGTATGAGCCACTTAATCGAAGCCAAAATGTAGTTAGATCATGCTTACAAGAGTCTCCCAAAAGCGTCAATTTTATCTTTGGCGGGTGCCCTTCCGCCCGCCGGTCGCTGCCTATCTTCTCTCATCTCCGAAACCCTACCTTTTCCTCCACTGGTGAACGGTGATGGAAAAAAAAACATTAGAAACAAAAGAATATCAATCCTTACGAACATTATTAACGCATCAACATAGAAGTAGAGCTTGATGGAAGAAATATTAAGAGAATCTAATAAAGGATTAGGCTTTCATAAAATTTATCTCTGAATATAAATAATAGTAGACTTGGTAGTAGTAGGTGGAAGAGGAGCAGCACCTTCTTCTGGGAAGGACAGAAGCAGAGAAGGAAGAGATCTTTCTGTTGGTGGCCTCCCTTGGAATTAAAGCGCCAAAACTAGCTAGCCTACGAACGATGAGGTTGTAAGGGTGGGATCAGTAATAATGGGAGAGAGAAAGTGGAAGGCACAGAAACGCAGAGAACGAAGCCCATTGTTTGTTGCTTGCAGAGTTGCAGTTGCAGCAGCTCCGTTTGGATCTCTGCCGTATATTTGCCGTTCGTGTTGATCAAATTGATGGGCCCAAATATAGATGATTCCTTGGGCTTGAGCTGAGGCCCAAATATAGATGGCCTCTTGGATCTCTGCCGTATATTTTACAGAGTTCAGTACTTTGGAACTGGATCGACTGGTGATCTTATAGGAGATGTTGATGTCACGTGGACAGCCAAACGGAACGGTCTATAATTATATTTTATGTAATTTTGATTTTAAACTTAAATTATTATTTTTTTAAGTGTTAATCTATTAATTTATGCAGGCAGCCCGAATACCTGGACCGGATCCGAACCTGAACATATATTTCCAAGTTAAGGGTGCTGGCCAGACTGAGCTGAGGCAGCACTTAATGCAACTTTTATCCGATGAAAACCCGGCATTGGTCTGAGACTCTGGGCCCGCCCAAGTCATCATCCCTGACCTGCCCCTAGGGCTGCAAGTCGGGCCGGGTTAGGTTGGGTTGAGGCCAACCCTAGCTCAACCTTAAGTTCTAAACCCCAATCCGATCAATCCAACCTTAACCCTAATCCTAGCTAAATTCCTTCAACCCTAACCCAATCCGAAGTCAATTTTGGGTTGGGTTGGGCCCAATCCAACCTTCTTCCCATCTTTTAAAACCTCATAGAATTTCTTGACTTTAAATCTTAACTCAACTTTCACTACATGTATTAATAATATGTTTTATTAGTACAAAATTCAGAAAAACAATTGTTAGAAATGACTATAATTTATTATGAGTTATGACTTATGATAGATCTTTCTTGGGCAGCAAACAACATAGAGGAGATGAAGAATAAAACTTTCAAAAAACATAAAAATAATGTTATTAAGGTTTTAGCCTTTGTTATTAGGATTAAGTGAAGTGATTATCTTAAAAGAAATACATGATATTATGTGGTGGGGGCTATACAAATATCATGCATCTAAACAAATCAACCCTAACCCAACCTGAAGAAAGTCGGGTTCATGAATTTCAACCCTAACCCGAACATCAATTTGACCCAACCCAACCCAACTTTTTCGGATCGAGTTCGGGTCAACCCGGTTCAAGTTGCAGCCTTACCTGCCCCCAATTAAAACCATAAAAAATAGGACCCAGTCCAGATTCAATTGATTTGATCCATACATGCCCTATATGGGTATGGATAATGGATAGCTATTTGTCTTAACAGAAAAGGTTGTTAATAAAGCGTGTTTCTACCAAAAAGGAAACACGATTAATAAATAAAGAAAGTATCAATCTACATGGAAATGGAAGTCGTCTCTTACTAGAATTAGGATTAACAACTCCTTTCCCGTCTGATATTGCTATTCTTATTTATAAAATAATAATGTTCAAGGAAACAACGTTGAAATCTGATCCAACCTCTCTCTGCTCAGTGCTCACTGTCCGCTCCGCTGATTAATCTATCGTTTGTTCGACCAGAAAATTGAACAGTTGGGAAGTCGGAAGTCGGAAGGATGAATAAAATCAAGGGGATGAGTAGTAACGATGAGGAGAAAGAAGCGGCACATTGGTCTGAACTTCCAAGCGAACTTCTATGGATGTTCGCAGAGCGGCTAAGTTTCGTGGAAAACGTCAAGATGGCTTCCGTTTGCAACAATTGGCGGCACGCAATTCAAAGCTTATCTGTTGTGAAGCCTCAAGACACCCACTCCCACTGCGAGCCATGGATGATGGTCATCAAGAATATCAACAGCAACGAGCGGGAATTTGTCAGTGCCTCCACCAAGGAGAAGTATACGTTCAGCCATGGAGATTTCAGAGGAGCCGATCTCCTTTCCTCGAAACAAGGTTGGCTCCTGTTGCGTCGACTAAAGAGTTCACCACCATCCGAACCAGAATGCTGTTACACCATCTTCTTGGTTAATCCAATCTTCGAGGGCAAAACCCCGATGCCGAATTTCAATTGCACTCGACTGTTCCATGGAGTTTTCACCCTGGTCGACGGCAATCCACACTGTGTAGTGCTGGCTGATTTTTGTAAAGTAACTGAAGTCACCCTCTGGATTGCACGTCCGGATGATGCAGCATGGACAAAGCACCAGCCATCGTTCAACAAGTTCAATTATTATGAGTTAGCTATTGCCACTGGTTCGTATTATAGGGAGGTAAGGGATTGGAAGAAACTCTGCAGCAGTTGTCATTATTTAATTGTTATTGGGCAGTACGTTTATTGCTTCGATGCAATAGGAAGGTGCTGCATCTTTGATATGGTAGGACTTGTTTGGAGGGGCATACCCGGATTGGAACCATGCACTGAGTCCCCTGGCTACATCACGGAGAATAAAGGAAAGATTGTCTTATTTAAGCCAAACAATAAATTCACAGAGCTTTGTTTTTTCAAACTGAAACATTTGGGGGCTACAACTGCAAGGTGGTTGAAGATGAGGGATTATGATATGGAGGATGAGTGTCTGATCTTCTCCAAGAATTTGTTGTTTGTTAACGCAAAACTGAGAGGTGTCAAGGAATTTTACCTTCTCAAGCACGGGGTTCTTCGTAAGAAAAGTGTATGGGCAAGGGGTTCAAGTATCCAAGTCCACAATTTGATGGATGAGAAGAATAGAGACGAAGACCTTCTTGTTGATCTACTTTCCCAACACTCGGTTTGGGTTGACCTACCAGGTCCTTCTGTTAATTAATGATCAATTGATGTTTATTTGTGAAGGGTTTTTTATTCACATTAATTAATTATTATCTTTCTGTCCATTAATTTACAATTTTTAGGATCAGCTGGGATTTCTGTTTTGAAGGGATGATTACAGATTGTTAGACCGTGAGGGGTTATTCAAAATTCAAATTAGGCTGACTACTAATTGTTCCTCATCTTCTTTTAAATGTTGTTGTTATTTTCTTAAAGAAATTAAGATGCTTTTCACTTATTCTTTTTAATGCTTTGTTTCTTTGTAATGCAAATCTGCGGATACAAATTCCGCACCCGGTTTCATTTGTTTAAATTTATGCTTTGCACACTTATCAGATAGAAAATTTGTTTTTTTTTTGTCTCGTTTGTATTTATTGGCAGTGCAAATTTTAAATTTCAAAAACTGATACAAAATTTGTACCACGTTCCACCTAGCTCAATTCTCTCTCTCTTATAAAGTGGGGTTTACATCGTCTCAGCCCGGATCTCCTACAAACAAAAACTCTGCTCATATAGCATCCAGTCGCAATTGGGAATATCTTTCATACATTTACGTTAAATTCATGAGATGTTCTCAATATGCAGATGGATTCCCATAATTGCAGTGTGTGCAGGGTATTTGCTTGCAGGGAATCCTGTTATGTTTGTGTTGAATTCTTTGTGGCCACTTGCTTCATGAATCCGCTCCGAATTAATTTGAGAAAAAAAATCGAAGGCAAAATTTCATAGTAGTGGGTGTGTAGGATTATGTATCCACTCCGACCCATATTCATCTTATATGTTCGAACCGAATATGAAGAGTTATGTATTTTTAGGGTTTTTTCTTTCGTGTACAGAGAGTCTTAAGTATTCTGTGAGAGGAGAGAAACTTTGGGTGCATTTGGGGCTTAGAGTTTTTTGTGAGGGCACAACTCTACATTTCTTTTCTATTATCTACTTCATAGTGGATTTTTGCTCCTCCTTCACCCATGAACGTAGGCCATATGTCAAACCATGTAACTCTGTGTGTTCTTTGTGCTTGTTTCTCTTTATCTCTTTTTTTTTTTTTTTTGAGTGTCATTCGAATATTTTCCCTTGGGTTTTTCCATAACAAATCCCATCACACATCATCTAACTTCCTACCTCATTGTTAGATGAATAACCCTCTTCCTACTTCCACTTTCTAGCATATAATTATAAGGTGGGGACAACATTTTACTTCTCACAAATAAATAAGATAAAGTCAAATCTGAAGCAAAATTAAACCAGAATTTAAACTTGACTTATTTGCACTTCCATGCATTTGTGCTAATTTTTGCTGCAGCTAATGCAATTAGTTATGAACCAACTCCAAATCTGCTAGAAACAATTAAGGCATGCAGACCGGGTTATGAAGCCAAATCAAGAGTAAGGGGTTTCTACATTTGATATATGAAATTACAAGAGACTTGACAAGATCCATGAAATTACATAAATTTGGAAATATAAAGGATGCAACTTGCCCAGGAGGCTTGTGATACTCTGTTGTCAATTCTCTAAACCGGTAGTATGAAAAGACAAGGATTCATGTAGCAGACCCCATGTAATTGGGACAAGGCTTATTAGAGGTCTGATCAAACAAGTGACAAGAGGTTTGATCAATGTTTGAAAACTAGGTTAACCATGTTGGTGGGTAGGTAGCTAAAGTTACCCTGGTTGGCCAATAATTTGACTAGTCCTTCACACAAAACTAAAAGAGAAGATGCAATCTTACATACAGTTCAGTGGTTTAATCACCACCACCCAAAAAAAATAAAAAATAAAATTAACCTATATTTTTGCACTTCATAAACTGTGATGGAATTAATGAACTAGGGTCCATTACTTGATGTAATGGTAAAATCTCATGCAATCAAGCATTGAGAATGTGGGTTTGAGTCTGAGAGCAGGATTGACACTGAGAACAAATCCTTCAAAACCCCCTGAACCACAAGAGAGATTGAATCCCAAACAATTATCAAACCCCCTGCTGTACCCTGTACTGGAATCCCAAACATATATAATAATACTTCTCAACATTAAGAGATCAATATTGAACTGTCTCAGTTATGCATATGATGAGAATAAAAACAGAAATTATTGGTCAATCCAATGAAAGGGTATTGCACCTGTTTATTATAAGATCAAATAGTGAGTAGAAATACAATGGATTGACAGATAATGCAAATAATCAGGCGTAAGAAAAAACCAGTTCCACTGCAACACAAACTCACTGCCTGGATTAAGAATCTTCTTCCTCCACAGCTGATGGTCCACTAGAAAGCCTTGGCTTTTAGCGGTATTGACAACAGAGTATAACATCCTTTTAGCGGTAT